GCAGCCAGCCAATGCTTGAATAAGTTCATCATAACTTGGTGACATTGTAATGTAGAGCTGTGCATCATCTGGGTAGTTATGGTAACTTATCTTGTTGTTTGTTATGATTTGAGCTAGGGTGAGCTTGTAGATATTGAATAGAAGGGGCCCCAGGATGGAACCTTGGGGAACACCACATGTGATTTTAGTCAACTCTGATGCAAAGTTACTTGTTGACACAAAAAGTCCCTGTCCTTCAAGTAAGAGTCAAACCAGCCAAGTGCTGTATCAGAAAGATTGACCCAGCTCTCCAGTAAAATAATGTGGTCAGCAGTGTTGAATGTTGCGCTGAGGTCCAATAATACCAGCACTCTGGTTCTTCCACAGTCTGCATTTATGCATTTGTCATTGAACACCTTGACAAGGGCAGTCTTGGTACTGTGGTGAGCAGTAACCTTACAGGAAGATGTCTAAGCAGCTGGTCATTGTTAGGAAGTTGTTTAACTGTTGAAACACAGCTCTTTATAACCTACTGATAAATGAGAGATTTGGGATGGGCCTGTAGCTCTGCAGTAGCAACTTGTCCAGATTTACAGTTAAAGAAAGCTGTAGGTAAAATATAGAGACAGCAGGCAGAGGAGCCTAAGTTTCTGTAGTTGATTTGGTAGAATTGTATCATTTAGGCCAAATTTGTTTTTGTTGGACACAGCATTGGTGCTGGAGTGGAGTTGAGATGCTACAATCACAGGAGCGTAGCAAACAAGGCCCGGGCATTATTAATGGTTTTGGTGATGATTTTAGAATAGAAACACATACCTGTTTGGCTGACTAATTACTAACTGACCTGACTCTAGTTGACTGTTAGCTTGACTGTGATTAGCCATTAGCTTGACTTTATTTAGTTATGTTTTCTCTTAGTTGCTGCTATCTTGTCATGGATAAATTAGATTGTCTCTGAGTAACTGCTATCTTGTCAAGGATTAACTCTTAGTTTGACTGTGATTAGTCGTTAGCTTGACACTAGTTAGTTGTTAACGTCTCTCTAAGTAACTGCTATCTAGACTTGGATTAACTGTTAGCTTCCCTCCTTTGGTATTATTTGGACCCCAGATTAAGGAATAGACACGGTGATGTTACAACACACAGCATAGCAAAGAGTTGTGACAGATTACCTTCAGGTAAGACACAGATTGTTTTATAAATATATAATTCACACAACCTCACTTATAAGAAAAAATACTAAGAAAACCCCAAAAAGTTTACTACCCGTTAAATCACCATAGAAACACAGAAGCGCCTCATTCGCTAAGAGCTTGGAAATCCGAGTTTACGTGTAGTCCTTGAAGGCATCTGAGCGTCGGTCCCCCACCCCTGAAGCAAACGGAGCCACATCCATCAGAGTCGCTTCTCTCACGGAGGTTTTCAGCCCGCAGAGCCACCGAACGGTCCTCCGTCTGAGCCAGCTGCGGGCAGGTTTCTCTGCGCGGATCCACCTGCCCAACAAACCGGGGGAGCGATGCGACGTCCCGGAGGAGAGCGAAGAGGAGACCAAGCGGCCAGGCAGCAGCGCACACCTGAGAGGAGCATCTGAGTTAGTTTCCGTTAAAGAAAGGTGAGTGGTAAACAGAGGAAAACACGAGGCTGCTTGCTGTGTATGAAGCAGGCATGTGTTTGGTTCCTGTTCGGTGATGCGATTCGGTCGTGTCCGGCATCAGTGACTGGCAGGCGGGATGAGTCATAGCAGGGCTGCTCTGCTGGAGGAGCCGCTGGAGCAAAAGACTGAAGCCTTCAGAGGTTCGTTATCAGCTGCTGTGCATGAAAAACACAGGCAAACAGTGTCTGATTGTGTCATCTGCGAGGCTTTTTACTATCTCCAGAGTTTGCGTGAAGAGTGTGTGTGTGACACGGGACTTCAGGCTTTAGTGTGGGAGGTTGAAACCGAAATGTTTGTTTGTTTGAATCGTTTGGAGCAAATGCCCAGCAGAGGAAAACCGACAGTTTATGTTGCGCATCTAACTTTGAATCTGCAGTCTTCACTGCTGAAATAATGTATAAAGCAACATATAAAGAAACTTTCCTTTACTTATTTCCCTTACCAATATTTAGATGAGTGATGTCACAGTTCAGTTAAAGGTGCATCTTAATACTTTCAGATAGGAAGAAGGTACACCAGAAAATTATCCAAGCATATTAAAGGAAAGTTAAGTGGAAGGACAAAGTGTTTATAGAGACACACCCTTGTTCCTTTATTTCAGCATTTACTGATGCTGTTCCCCATGGCTCAACATGTATCAGATTTAAATTGCTGAGCCATTAGCAGGCTTCAGCAGTTCCTTATCTCTGTACCTACCCAGTCATTTGAATCAGGTGTGCGGGTGTGGTTGGATATCTAAAACATGCACGACTCAGACACAACAAAATAAGTCTTTGTGGTCTTAAATCGAACCGCATGTGCCTCTGAATAAATTAGAATGTAATTGAACAGTTAATTAGTTCAGTAAATCAGGTCAAAACATCACAAAAAGGTGTTGCTAAAGAAGCTGACTTGTAGGATTGCTGTGTCCAAGCATATTAACGGAAAGTTAAGTTAAGGGAAGGGAAAAAGTGTTTATTCTGATGCACCTGTGTAAGACAGCACTGTTCCCCATTGTTCTGTAAGTTTTAGCTTACTTTAGCAGATCCAGATCTCAGTCTGTGATGCAGTCATTAGAATGAGGTGTGCAGGACTGGTTGGACGTCTAAAACATGCAGGACTTAAAAACAAACATGTCGCATTTGGATGATTTATAAAGAAAATTGAATGAAAGATATGAATAACTTGACTTTAAGGTTATTAAACAGTTTATTGTCATTGGGTGTCCAAACATCTGGTAGAGTTTAGTAGCAGCTGTTAATTAAGTAGTTTTAAATTACTTATTAGGTTAACTTGTTAGGCCTTAGCATTTTTATACCTTATAATTTTTCGTTAGTGTCTTTTATTTTTTTACTACAAAACATTCTTTGTTGTGTTTTACTTCCACAAAATCATGTGACCTTTGCATATTTGCATGGAGCTCCTGCCTTGTTGTTGGAGCACACCTGTTGTTCTACAGGCCCTCAGTACTTTCCCCTGCCTCCGTGCTGATAATTAGTTTGCTGTTTACCCGTCAAACACTCTGAATGTTTGTTTACTCATAAATGACTCTGTAAACAAAGATGGCAGGAGCTGAGGTAATTAGTGGGCACATCTTTTATTGTCATCGGAGGCTTGTTGTCATACACTAATCTGTTAATGACATTGTATTGTCTTGGTAAAAAGTAAGTACACCCTATTTTAATACCAGGGTTTCATGTATCTGGATATAATGTAAATCAGGTTCTATAATTGAACATAAAGTGTCCAACCACAAGGCAGATTCTACTCTGCTATTATTTATTCACCAAAGACGAAGCCAAAATAGAAGAATGAGTGAAAATGTAAGTACGCCCTTAGTCCAACACCTTGATTAATTTCTTATTGAGCTGTTCTGTTGTTGATTTGCTTCTGTTTGTGATCGTTGTCCTGTTTATGACTCAGATCGACTCACATTTGACTCTAAAATACTTTAGAGAATACAGAGGAGTCCTTGTTCCCCTCAATGACTGCAAGAAGCCCAGGTCCTGGGGCTGCAAAACAAGCCCATGTCATCAACCCTCCACCACCGTGCTTCCCTCTGTCCAAAGAGCATTGTTCCAGAAGTCGTGTTGCTGACTTAGGCCCATGATGATGACATTTTTTCAAACAAACCATACTTGTTCAGTCTTTTTTAGCTTTCCTGCCATGTACTTTAACATTTCAGTTGGGCTTCTTGGCATTTCTCTGAACATTGCACGTTCTGACTGCTGGGACGTCCACTCTTGGGAAGATTAGCAGCTCCCAGATTGATGGACAGCAATAGTTGCCTCTGTAAGGTTATTGCTGATGTGTTTCCATCTTGGCATTGTGTTTAGAGTCATCTGTACGCTTCAGAGCAGCAAACATCCAAAACTTTAGCTTTTCGAGAGAAGCTCATACTGATGATGATCAGTTAATTAATGCATTTGATCAGCTGCACCGGGCGGCTCCTTTTCCTCCTAAATCCAGTGGAAGCAGCAGGTGTATTCTGTGTTTACAATCTTTGAAACTTTCATGATAATTCAACCATCATCTGTTTTCAGATGTTTAAAAACTGAATCTGAATCTTTCTCCTGATCCCGTCTGACTGAAGTAATAACCCTGAGTTATAGTGTCCATGTGTCCAGGCTTGCAGACCTTTAACTATGTTTCATAAGGCTGATCAGCTGTTGCTATGGTGACATTTTAAAAACCAGAGGCTTTGTTTGAGGTTTATCCAGAAAAACACGCAGGATTCACTTTAGGTGTTTGGCTCTGATGATTCCCGGTGACCTTTTGGCTCGAGGACGGCCTCCCTAACCAGCGTGCCCTTTCCTCCTGACTCTCCGCCTCTGTCTGACGCTGGCTCCTGTCAGACACCTGCAGAGTATTGACCACAAACAGCAGGACTTGGCCTCTGGAAGATGATTAATGCATAGATAAGATTTCCACTTGATGGAGGGGGCTTAACAGTCCTCAGAGGCTGATATGGGTTATCTGAGGCGATGCTTTGCCAGGAGAAATCAGCTTTGATCAAAAAGAAACTTATTGGCAGAAAAAATGTGGCAGGCTGGAGCCAAAAACCCACACTTTTCCTGAACTAATTATTAAGAAGTCAAGCTAATGGAATTGGAAATAATCTCATTTTACATCAGTAAAAACTTGAATTTTGACTCATTTTTGTTACCGTTACTTCTGTTTAAACACCACACTGAGCCTCTGAAATCTAGAAAAGTAGTGATGATGTTTTTAGCGACACAAATAATCTAATTCTTGATTGGTCAGAATAATAATTATTTTACAACATTAATTTACAGCTCTTGTTTTTAATTTTTAAAATATTTTTTCTGCACTGGCACCCTCAGCATCTCCTCTAAATAATCTATTGTTTTCAAGTGTATTTTGTCAGGGCCTGTGTGGTGGTGCAGGTTGTAGCACTGTTGCCTTGCAGCGAGAAGGTCCTGGGTTTGAATCCCGGCCTAGGTCTTTCTGCATGGAGTTAGCATGTTCTCCCTGTGCATGCATGGGTTTTCTCCAGGTACTCAGTCCCAAAACATGACTGTTAGATAAATCGGGCTCTCTAAATTACCCCTAGCTGTGAGTGTGCATGGTTGTTTGTCCTGTGTGTCTCTGTGTTGTCTTGTGATGGACTGCTGGCCTGTCCAGTGTTGTGACTATGAATCTGAGAATATTATTTAATATTAATATTTTATCAAATAATATTTGGGTCTGTTAAGGGTTGTCCTGTGAATACCAGCCCAGTAAGGCGATGGTATTAGGACAAAATAGAAAGGTGTGAGACGAGCTCTGACATTATTGAACAGCATA